CCCACCTCGGCCTCCCAGAGTACTAGGATTACAGAGAGCGGTGAGCTACCGCGCCCGGCCCATACTCAGGATTTTACTCTGATTAGCGCAGATAAAACAATCTGTACAAAACATATTAAAATTTCGACCTTCAAGGTCTCTATATTCTGCTTTTCAAAAGTAGAAACATTATTTCCAGACAGCAATTAGTTATACATTAATATATAGTTGGTATCATAAAAAATGATAATGAAACATCTAGTCTTGAAACCTAGGTTATCTGATTCTTCTCCAATTGAGAAGTCCTATCAATTTCTTTTTTTCTTTTTTTGGAGACAGGGTCTCGCTCCACCACATAGGCTGGAGTGCAGTGACACACAATCATAGCTCATGCAGCCTCAAACTCCTGGGCTCAAGAGCTCCTCCGGCCTCAGCCTGCTGCGTAGCTGGGACTACGGGCCTGTACCACTGCACCTGGCTAATTTTTTTTCTTTTTGGTAAAGATGGGGTCTTGCTATGTTGCTTTGGTTGGTCTTGAACTACTTGCCTCAAGTGATCCTCCCATCTCAACTAGGATTAGAAGTGGTAGCCATCACGCATGGCCAATTATTTCTTTAATCACTGCTTTTCATCTAAAGTTTCTTTCCAATCTACTCTCATCTTGAGAGACTCTCCTCTCCACTAGCCATATTAACCGCCTTTGTTCATCAAACATGCCATGTTCTTAACCACGTCAGGGCCTTTGCACGCGTTTGTGTCCTGTTTACAAGGATCCCCCACACCCTTTTTTTCATAGCATCAGTAACAGTGTAGTTGTTTTACTGAATATCTGCTTCCATGATAGACTATATGTGTAATCAAAGAGCACGCACCCTATCTTCCTTGTTCACTGCTATATATCCAGTGATTAGCAGCACAATGCCCAGCACACAGGAAGCAATTAACATTCACTATCTGACCGATTCCTGTTCTATCACTATTCTAGTTCAGGCTCCATTACTGTTTCCTAGTTTTCTAACTAATTTACATCTTAAGTCTCTCCTTAATCTATTTCATACAGTTCCCAGGTCAGTTCTAAAACCCAACTATAGTATTCCACCCCCACACCAATATCTGCAGTTCCACTTACTGTGGTTTCAGTTACCCCCACGGTCAATCATGGTCTGAAAATATTACATGGAAAATTCCAGAAATAATTCATAAGTTTAAATTGTACATTCTGAATAGCATGATGAAATCTTGCACCATCCTACTCTACCCCACTTAGGAGTTGAATCATCCCCTTGTCCAGTGTATCCATGCTGTGTATGCTCCCCCACTGTCAGTTTAGTAGCCACTTCAATTATTAGATCGATTGTCCCACTATCACAGTGTTTGTGTTCAAGTAAATATTACTTTATTTAATAATGGTCCCCAAAGTGCAAGAGTAGTGATGATGGTGTATTATTATAATTGTTCTATTTTATTATTAGTTGTTAATCTCTTACTTTGCCTAATTTATAAATTAAACTCTATCATAGGTATGTATGTATAGAAAAAAACAATAGTATGTATAGGGTTTGGTACTATCCTTGGTTTCAGGCACAGGGGGTCATGGAATGTACATCTTAGGATAAGGAGGGGAATACCGTAACCAGTTTGTTCCCAAATTCCTTTCAAACTTTCATGGAGCACTTATACTAAAATAATAAAATTCAAACTTCTAAGTTACTCATTCATGGCTCTACAATTTAGCTTCAATCTAATTTTCCTAGCTCTATTCTCATAAATACCACATGCCAGCCAAACCAAAGCAATCCTTTTCCTTTGTCATTCACTCGACAAAATATAAACTGTGTTAGATGCAGCTGACAAAATATCATTTATTTGTCAGCCTTTATAGAGTTTAAGTCAGAGGTAGGGGCTGGGGACAATCACCTAATGTCCCAAATACATAAACTACTGTATGTGTAATGAAGAAAAAGTGGAAAGAGTTATGTGAGATGCAAAAGGGTTTACCAGCTCTAGTCTTGGGGTTTGGGAAGAGCTTACCTAAGGAAATAATATTTAATCTCACACTTTTAAGGAGAAAGAAAAAAAATTCCATCCTATTTAATAAATAACTAGAATTCTCTATCTCTCCTCTTTTTTTACATCTATATTCTAAGTCTCATATGCCAACATGGCTAGAGCAATTTGGCAACATGCATCAAGATTCATAAATGCCTGCATGCTTGGAGCCATAATTCTACTTCAGGAATTTATTGTCTACACTGTGCTTGTTGATCTTTTACATATTAAATCAAGTCAAAGAAAAACTTCAATTAAGGTCCAAGAAATATTAGGAAATTATTGATGGCACCGCAGGTTATATAAGTTACCAATCACTCTGAGAGTGAATTAAAGAATATGACAATAGTCCAGTTTCTTTCAAGTAACATGAAAATACACATAGTAAAAAGAAACTAAATGATTAACAGAAAGAAATCCTCAAAGTCTACAGTTCTTTTCCATCTGGGCAATTTTATGCAAAAATAGTATAAATTTAGAAATAAAAATGTAATATCCTATCAAAGCTTAAAAGACAAAAGGTTGGTTTAAGATATTCTAGAAAATGCTTACCTCAAGTTACCGAAAATAATTCAGTTTATCAATAAATTAAAAGACAAAGTACATAAAAATGCAGAATTTCTGAGAAAAATTTCTAATTTAATCCAGATTTTAAACATAAAAAATAATTTCTAGGTTATTTAGGTTATAATAAAAATCTTTTTTTTTTTTTTGGAGACAGAGTCTCACTCTGTCATCCTGAGTAGAGTTTTAGTATTATTTTTTCTTTTTTGGTGACAGAGTCTCATTCTGTTGCCCAGGCAAGTGCCATGGCACCAGCCTAGCTCACGGTGACCTCAAACTCCTAGGCTCAAGGGATCCTC